AAAAATAGCCTTCTGAATTTTCTTCGGGAATTTGAGACACATCAATATTCGTAGTATCGACCCATTCGAACTTCGAATGGGTCGATACTGATATTGTAGTGTTGTAGTTTCGAAGCCTTCATATGGCAAATATGAAGACTTCGAAACTCATATATAGCCACTCATCGAAATACATTATGAATTCAGATGGTTCCGTTGGATCGTATGCTGACATATACTTATTATCGGCTTCCGAATATCTATTAAAACAAACCGAAATTCCACTCTTTACTCGTTATATCCTCTTCCACAAACATAATCATATCGACGTCTTTTGAAATTTATAATTTACACCACGTATATTTCAACATACACCAGCAAAAAATCAACCCGACTATCTCCCTTGGTCCTCTGAACTTTTCCGCTGAATAGCAGGCTATCGTCCACATGATCATAGGCATCGAATTGATTGATGTTGATTCCAATGACATTATTTTTGCGAAAAGATTTGACATACGGGTAGTAGGTCCGTCATTCTACCTTTAGTATGGATTTATCATTTTGTGGTTTTCGGATAATGTTGAACACTTGATTGGACAACATGATAGCGAACATATTTCAAAATGATTCATTCTCCGTTGACAGTTGTTGTCCACGCTGTTTGAAGGTCTTGATGGAGACTGACGGGGGGTTTGGTGATGAGTTATTCTTATAGATAGTTAACACCATACTTTCGCTTCCATTCCAAACGAATAATTATTTCTTCGTTTCGAAAATCAATGAGCCTAGAATGTTGGCCGAGCACTCGCAATGTAATGTTGTTTATGTCATTCGTATGAGGAATGGGTAGATAAATAAGATGATTGGGTGTTTCGTCAATTGCGTAACCAGGATCAATATCAACGACAAATTCGTATATCGTATGAGACGGTGTTTCGTTGTAGACGGCTCCAGACGTAATGTTATCTATGTGTATGTTTGGGCTTGAGAAGAGTAGAGGAAAAGCCCAAAATGTGAGCCAAGCTATTTGCAAGTCGAAAATAAATCGAGTGTTTCAAATAAAATATTTCTCTTTTCAACGTATTATTTTTTGGCTTTCCTTGTACGTTTTAGGCAGAATATATTTGCTTATTGAAGCTTCAATTTCACTAATTTCGTATGATCCAGAAGGGATATCAATACTTTTTTGTTTAGTTTCCCACATGTACACACCTTAAGTAATGATTATAGACAACAATATTTTATTTATTTGTAAAATAACAATATTTGTGAGCAAACAGGACCATAATACATAGCTTTTTGTTATGATACCACAGCTGGTGTAGGTGGTACCTTATGTCCATAATGGATGAAACATGGTAAACGAATCTGCAAAGCGGATAGATGTTGGTAGTCCAAGTTCTATATCAAATAGTCAATCGATAGAGTTTTCAATTCAGTATCAGTTAAATCCCGCAAAGATTTATTTCCAAGCATTTTTACTGGCATTATGAAGTAGAAACTGTAGGCACAGATATACACAATTACTCTGATTACAATTTTGATACCGATCATTGTTATATATAATCGTTATACCCCTTCCATAATATCGTACCAATTCCACTAGAGGTTTTAGATAAACGAAACTATCGAAATATTGTACAGCATTTTTATTGTGAGCTACCCAAAGGGTGCCTGCATTCAATTGAGAATCCAAGTTCAATACAGCACATTCTCGCTGCCAAGGACCACAAGTTGGCAACACATCACGCATAAAAACTCCACGAAAATGTGGTATTTTCAATTGATGGGCACATATTTTAATTTCCGAATCATAAAATGTTCTATAGAGTAGCTGCAGTAGGAGTTTTTTGTGGCTTTTTCAAGTAAAGGCCTCGTCCTTTGCGTTGATGTTGTTATTTTAGAAACAGGCCAAACTGAAACCCAAATGTTTCATAGCTTTATTGTGACGTTGATCTTCTTCAAGTTTCTTTTTGTCATTTTTTGCATCTACCACAGTTTTTGCGATGGCGCTTGCTCCTCCTGCCAACGAACCCAAAGCTGAGAGACCTGAAAATATAGATATTAGTGGTAGGATTCCTCCAGATTTTACTTCGAATGGGATAACTCTTGTGTGCGTATCTTCCCACGTCTTCCACGTCCAGCTTTATGTACGGCCATTTTTGCCTTCCTTAGAGCCGACGCCACCGAATTCTGACAAGTTATGGAATGTGATGGGAACCACAAATTGTTTTTTGAAGGTCAAATTACATGGAGCTTGATGGGCGAATCCCCTAAACTGACCTGTAAAGAGACAGTGATCGTGTACCATAACGTCTTTATTGGTAAATGGTTTCTCAAAAATATGACACGTCGTTGCACCAATAGCATTTGGAGACACTATCACGGGTATGATATTTTTAATTTTGGATGAAATAAGTTTTGCAATTTTATTCATTCTACCAACGAACCAGTCCATGCAATCCAGGCTTCGATAAATATTGAAGCGAGAAAGGGTGTCATCATAGGAACATTTTATAATAGGGGAGCCCAAGCAGGGAATTCGGGATTTACTGAAGCGCGGCAGATTAATATACAGGGGGATACCTCGTACTCGGTTAAGTACCTCCACCAAATATTAGCCCCATATACAAGGCCGCCTGTGAAGGATGAAGGATCAGATTAGGAAAAAAAATGGATCATCCGAAATTCTCGAGCGCGCCAGATTGAGGTAGGGTGAGTTGATTACATGCTAAAAAGTGCTAAAAAGTAATCTGACAGTTTGAGAGTGACGTAAAGAAAGGGAAGGGCAGCAAATTTGTAAATGATAACGTCATTTCGACATTCTCGAGCGTAGTTACTTTTTTTATTTCGAAGAAAATAATTCACGGATAACGAAAAATATATAATCTGACGATTTCCGCAAGCCGAAATAACGAAAATTCGCCAATAAAGTTTATTGCGTGCAGCTGTGTGATACCTATATTTTCCTCTCCAAGTTTCTATTCCTCTTTCACTTTTTCTCTATCTATATATGATGGAATCGGCCGATACTTGATGAAAATCCATAACTAACGTATTCCAAAAACACTTCATTGTGAGATTTTCACTAAATTGTTTTACAAAAACGCCTTTTTTCTCTATCTATTCCTCTTTCACTCCGTCCCCACTCTGAATTCTATGCCATGACGCCACACCTGATCGCAGATATTCGTTCGTGATGAAGATGAACATGATGATTAATCAATCAATTGATTATGAGAAATTACTTTTTTTGGGCATTTTTTAAAAATTATTTTCTCATAAATACAAGTATTCTACTTAAAAAACATACACTTATTTATTAACATGCTATTTCCTGAGCTTTTCAGTTGATTAAGTTCAATGATTCAAGAAAAAAAATTAAAAAAATATTTTTTTGTCAGATTAGGCGAATCTCTCTAGATAATCATCAGATTATGAGACAGCACGTCTAGAACTTAAAGATGAACGATATATATCTCAATCTGACGCGCTTGAGTATTTCGAAATGGCGATTTTTTTTTTGCACATCATAATAATGGCCGTGAGTTTGCGTCAGATGGAAATCGTCAGATTATTGAATGGGAGCTTTTTTTTGTTGCACTTAACACCTCCTTAGAAAATCTGACGCACTCGATTGAATTTTTTTTCTTTCCACTTTTAACCCCTACGTACAACCACTCGCATCATGCAAACGATCAGATTAACATACGAACATTATCAACAATATGTAGGACATTGATGCTATCAATATCTGACGCGCTCGAGTATGTCCATGCAACAGTATTTTTTCACATATTCAAAAATCTATAGTCGCTTTTCCCACCGATGAAAAGGTATATATTATGTAACATTTTTTTATTCTTATCATCTAAGCTTTGCAACCTGATATGTCTCTATGACGCTCATATAAAATTCTTTTTTTTGTATCAAGATGGAGTAGTAGAAAGCCAAAAACTTTCTTTCCCAAAAATTAATCACTCCTAAAAAATATAACCCCTTCAATTCGAACTATTTCTTATCATGATTCCTATTCAATTGTTTAGGCAATAACCTAGACATGTCTTTTATCCAATAGATGTTTTCAATCAAAAGCAAATGTACATGACGGTTCAGTTTATGTGTGGTTATTCGTGCAGGTGCCACAATATAAAAAAATTCCTCATTAACTTTGTTCAATTCCAATGCATAAACACTGATGGAAATATTATTCAAGTTTTCAAATTTGGAAATTTCGTGTGAAGGCATGGGTACGTCGAGATCTTGTGTTTTCAGCACTGTGCTGAAATGAGGGTATGAGGAAGTTCGTGTCACTTTTCCTCTAGCTGGGAAAAGAGTACTTACTATGATCCAGTAAAAGCGCATATCGTCATCGTTTTGTACAATATTGCGGGCCCGTCTTTTCAGAATGTGTTCGGGTAACCTGATGAAGGAAGAGCCGTTTCCCACCTCATATTTATTTATCGCTACCTCTAATGAAATAATTCTATTTAAAGCCCATCCGCTGTCTTTTTCCTGAAATTCGCTCAATTCATTCATAATTGAATCAACAACCTTAATTTTGAGAACCCGTTCCAGCATTCACGATTGTATTAGGTGTACTGAAATACTTGCAATCAACTACCTCAGATTCGTTTGATTTTCAAAAAATCACCAGAAAGTGTACAATTAATCTTTAACAAGGAAATTTCTTTTAAAAATTTGGAAATTTCCTTTTGTAGCAGCCCAATTTAGTCTTCAAAAAAATTGATTATGTTCTTATGTCTCAAATTCAAAACGAATCCTGTTTGAATTCTAGATTCAAAAATAGAATTTACTAATATCCACTTCACTGAACGCTTCAAACCAGAAACAACATCATGATCTTTATCCATTTTTTTGATGAAAAATCTCATTCGTTTGAGTTCCCCAATTTTTATTTGGATTTTACGCGGAATTCCTATTGAGAATTTGAATTTTTTCAATGCTCGCGTGCGTTTTTGAATATGATTTCTAATAAATCTCAATATGAAACTGGCCAATTGTTTGGAATAGTTTTTTTTTTCATTTCTATAATAGTCGCGTCAATTTTACGTAACGTATTTCTGAAACTCTCCATTTTTCAAATGAATGTAACTCATCAAAATGGCTGTTGTGATGGAGTGTGGCGACGTGTGAAGCGTGAAGCTATTATATACTGCTGTTGTGATGGAGTCTGGGCTGATAATGCTGCTACGGTGTACAACTTGCTAACAGATGTCTTGAGGTGTGTTGGGGAGACAAACAATAGTCTAAAATCAAGAGAAAATACTATTAATGTGAGAAAATATGAGAAGGATTTTTTTTAATTTTGAATAGAATTTTTATGAAAAACTGACCCCCCACGATCTCAAATGAAGCAGCTGGATTCGTTTTCTCAATTTTCAAGAATCCTCTGAATGTCACCGATTTGGTAGGAACACGACTCGATTCTCAAAATCCAATATAACAGTTTCTTTGGTTCTCACAATTTCGGCTTTCAATATTTTATGAGACTCTTCCGACCAGATCCTGCAGCTTTTCAACAGACTTGAGTCTGATGAGAAGAGTGGAAGAGAAAATAAAGAAATTTCTTAGTTAACTATTTTATATTTCGTGAACAAACACGTTGAATGTATAAACGTTCGAAATAATATTACATTTGAGGTAGGTAATTCTTGGAAAACTCGGTATGAAATGTTGAAATTCATTTTAGAAATTGAAACAAAAACTTGTGAAATGAAAAAGCAAAGAGAATACTCATTTTTGATAGTTGAATATACGTACAAACTATAAATAGAGATACACACATTACTAAGGGCACAATTGACTGCACAAACTGCTGTAATGAAACTGAGGCTTGCTGTTGATATTTTTAATGAATATCTAGTTCCAGTCCTTGTATGAGCACAAACCGTTTCTGTTTATCAGTTTGACCTTTTATCATATTGCGGTCAATTGATTAGCAAAGAATCATTTGATAGAAAACTATTCATTTTATCAAATGAAATTCGGGAATATATCACAGAGTTTTATTCAACTGTAGAACAAAAATATACAACATATTTTTATTAAGAATCAGTGAGAGCAGTAGAAAAATTCCATGCAGAAAAACCATTTTGTTGAGGATGAATTTGCCGCAATGGATATGTTGTTGTTTGAGGTAGCTTGCGTGTTTCTAAGTTCCGTATGCTCAAATTTTTGAATTTTCTAACAACGTTTTCTTTGTCTTCATAAAATTTTATATCTTTGGAGAGTTCTCGCACTCTGTCGAAATCTTCGAGGAGCTATCTATACTTTTCAGAAGACATTTCGAAAAATGATGATTTGGAAGAGAAATTGCCTTACTGATCAAATTAGTGCAGAGGGGGAGAGCGGCGCTCCTTGTTTTGTAAAAAATAACACAATAATCTTGGGGTATATGTCGTCATGGAGCATCCGTCGTCATTGGCGTGTCACCACTGATTTTGAAAAATGTCAGCCATTGTTTTTTTCCTCTCTTACTGACGAACAGCAACGATGTACATTTGAGACACCCTGTATACGTATCAATCAGGTCTCGAACAGGTCTTGAACAGGTATCGAACAGGTCTCGATCAGGTCGTGAACAGGTCCCGGTATTGATCTGCTTAGCAGTTTGAGGCGTTAGTCTCCCGATACCGTACGATGTTTTTCTTAAATGAGACACCCTATAACAACGATGTGAGACAAGACACTCTGTAGATTTTTTTCTGTTCACCTACATCTGAATCACTTTTATCAAGGTGACCGTTTTGAGAAACGGATCAGCTCCGTCTATTACTACTAAATGCGTCACATTGAATAACATGTGAGCGAGGCTAGACTGGCTTCTATCAGAACAAGTGTGCCTTTTAGCAAAAAAAAAACACCCTCTCTGGTCATCACCGTAAAGGAGTAACCTAGGTCCATTTGCCACTTCTTTGGCTACCATTTCTAATATACACCAACAGGGTTGCTCAAGAAGTTACGTCATTCCATTGTCTTCTCTCTCTCTCTAACACATACCGTTCATTGAGGCATTTCTGGCACCTCTCCCTCTTCGTCTTCGATGACCACACCCTTCTGCTCATTGACGATTTACAAAAACTAACAGGGGTGTACAAGAACTTACTATTGTTCTCGAGGGTACATTTGAGCCTTTTTTGCAACTCTTCACGTACCTATGTCATCCCTATAGCTGAGGGTGGAGAGAACTCGATGATTGAGTGCGGTGGCTAGATAACCAGCAATTATGTAAAATTTGCATCTTTTTTTGGACATCCGTTACATCTTTCCTATCTTTGAAACAGCAACTATGTAAACAAACTGCGACCTCGAAGGTCACATACGATAATTATTCCAATCGAAACTGCAACAAAATTAGAAATTATGTTAGCAAATTGCGACCACATAGATCACATCGATTTTCAAGACGCCATAATCGGCTCTCTCTCTTACACATTGAATGACATATCTCAGCCCCCAGACGAACATACTATATCTACTATCAAATGACATCAACTTTAATACTCCTGTATTGAAACACTATAAATTATAAACAGATATAGCTCCGAACAGTACTGAGTTACCAAACACAAGTGATCTTTCGGAAAGAGCATGTTGAGCAATGAATAAAATCTAAATTTGGTTATTTTGATTATTAGTGTGATGCAGTTCTTGTCAGTTATGATTGCTATGACTTTTTTGAAGGACAAATCACAAGCACTACAGGAAAATACTTAGGGCGCTCTCACAGCGGTGCCTGTGCGATTCACATAGTGTACTGAGTTGAACCTCAAAACGATCAGCTGCTACATCGCGTATTTCTGCTATGTACTGCTCTTGGTGGAATTCAATGTGCCAAGTCGCTTAAACACCTCTCGTGAAAGTATCTATAGAAGAGAGACAGACCTCCAAACTTTCTTCGATGTTCCAGGCTATCAATGTTGCACGTGTTGTTCGCGTCTTCAATCAGGCGGATGGCTCCTTTCTGGATGGAATCCAGGTTATGTTTGGGGGCCGAGCTCCATACATGAGAACAATGAAATCAGTTCGAACTTCCCTTGTCCAATATTATAGTAAATACTATGATATCCCTGAACGAACCAATAAGGAGGAAAATTTAAAAAATAGCTGAAAATAACGATTTAATTGAGCAAAAAAATCCTGAAATGAAATTACAGTAAAATAAATACAAATATAAGCAGAACAATAAAACAAAAAATAAAAATTAAGAGATTTCAAATCAAGTTACTTCACGTCGTTTCAATTGTTAGTATCCACAATCATCTTCGGATGATAACTGGACTAATTCCTCTTAGAGATGACTATATATGGGTTACTCGAGTACTTTCCATTTTTCTTCCTGTACCACCATCCTGCATTCGTCCTCGAAGTTGCTTTGCCACCTGTAGCAAGAACATGCCATCTCAAGGTGAGTAGAGGGCTAATCTGTGCCAAAATCGAGTTCAAAGTTGCAGTATCATATTCAACTTTGTCAGCAAACGGATTAACATTGGCAGCAGAGGGCTGAATTCTGCTAGCATTGGACTGCCAGCGAAGACTTGAAATACTTTTTTTTTTATTCTAAAGGTTTCACATGCGATGCTACCACCATAACTTGACAAACAACACGCCTAGTTCGTTCAGTGTATAGATCTTCTTCAACCAGCCACTTTGAATTTACCACAAAACTTTGGAAGGAGTTTTTTTACTATCTTTGTTTGTAGAAAACTCTCCACCTTCGTTGATACCAAATCTCAACTTGAAAGTTTTTCGGCGGTCCCCTCCTCTCATTAAATGAAATCTTTTGTTTGGTTCTATTTTCGTCTAGCCCTTTTGCTGTCTGTGTTCTGAATTTCGATACCTGCGTCAATATATGAATGCTAAAATATCAGGAACTGATCCCAGTGAACAAATTTTGAAAATCCATTACCGGAATATGTTCATTTCTGGCTTTTCTTTCCACAATTAGTCATATATGGTTCATATGAAGAGTATGGTGTGCTTGAGCATACTTAGTAGGAGAATGGAGGTAACCGAGTTTCCTTCCACCAACCACTATATTATAGAGGCAGAACAAGCAAGAACTGATATATTTTTCTATGAATCTTCTCATTTTAAGCAATGGTAAAATATTCAATAACATGACAGTTTTCCGTAACTATGTTATTTTACAACAACCTTAGTCTGTGTGTTGATAAATTTTTCACGTCGTAATTTTGAAATATATTCTTGTTATTTTGAATGTCATAACTGGGTGATCCCTTTTGTATTTTTATCTTGATCTTGAGTATCACGTAGGTAATCATTTTCAGTTATCAATAAGATTTCTTCACAGGTGATATCATTTTCTAAATTGCGACTCGGAGCGTCTACGTGCTGAATTTGGGTACTCGCCCTGTGTTCGATTTTATTTAAAAAATCTTGCATGAATGAAATCAGCGAGCAATTCTCAAAATAATGCTTTGTTTACTCAATGTGTTTTTTTGTGGTAAATCCGGCTCTACGACCGACGCTATCGTGTCGTGATATCTCTTTAAACCCCATCGTACCTGTTGGATTTCGTCAAGGTTTGGTACTTCTAGGATCAGAACGAGGTATACTGTATCAGTTGGCCAGAATACGCATACCTGTCATATCGGATTACATGCCACCTTCTCATTCAGAGTTCCACTGATGAGATAGATTAATGGCTTATTGAAATATCGCAAATGATATTGGAAGCCAAGTTTCTCTACGATATTGGTGAATTTCTATCAATTCCATAGATAGCAACTTCGTAAAAAAACGTAATAACCAATTTTTGAACAACTTTTTTATTTTTCATATTGGTTTTTCGCATTGTGATGGTACCTTTTCTTGGTTCCAATTTTTTTGTTTTTGGTGCAATATTTCAGTGTTCTCAACCCAAATCTTCATTTGCTACCTATTTTTTGTAAACTTTTTGTTTCAAAATTATTTGATAATTACAATTTGATCTCGTGTTACATATATTCTAACTCCATAAATATATTTTTCAAAGTCTGCTGAAAGAATTCAGATTATACAACAAGAAAAATCAATGCTTCAATCTCAAGGCGAATTTTCAATATCCCAACACTTTTCTAGGTTGAAACAATTGGAGATGCATATATGGTCGTCTCTGGCCTGCCAAAAAGAAACGGTATTAATCACGCAGGAGAAATAGCTAGAATGTCTTTGGCGTTGTTGAAAGCAGTTAGTGAGTTTCGAATTAGGCATAAGCCCAATGAACCTCTCAAACTTCGAATTGGAATACATACAGGTGAGTTGAAGCAAATTGCAATAATATTAACTGAATAAATGTTCATCGATTCAATGTATCAATATATGAAAAAAACTGAATATTGATCAATATACGATCACCAGTAATGTAGGATCATAATCGATATTATTCTCTGTTAGAAAAATTCTTACTGAAAAGTATGAATAGAATTGCAGGAATCAGATGAATTATTTTACTATGAAAAAATTAATATCTGCAACGTTAGACTCCAAAACAGATCGTATGTTGATGGTTTTCTAAATGCGCCTAATGCGCAATCACACAACTTGCGGAAATCTTCAAAGAGAGTTTGAATATGTTTTATCAATCTATTACCGACGATATCTCATTACAAAATTATTGAAAATCCAATCAACATTTGTATAATTCTTCAGAATTTTGATAATGCAATAAACTCAATAAGCACGTCTTCGTAAAAACTATTTTGGCTTTCTACTCCTCCAACAGTATAAAGAAAGTGTGAAGTTTTCAAATAACGGAGAAATATCAAATACGAGTATAATTGAAAACAGACTAAAAGCAGACTTGAAAATAGAGTATACATCTGTTCTGTTTGTTGAAATTTGTTTTTCCATTAACCAACTGTCGCCCCTTACGAACGACAACTCTCAAAAGTCATAACTTGTGCGAGCTAAGGACTAACGAGGTCTCACCTTGTACAGGAAATTGATCATGTCCAGTTAAATTGAATTGATGAAGATTTTGATGTTGACAAGGAAAGTGCTGTGTACACTTTGAAATCGAATGTATCCAAACCTTCAACTGTGAAGTTTGTTTGAACAATAAGTTGTTTAATTTAGAATTAGATTCAGGGGCTGCTGTTTCGTTTTTACGAGAAATATTCCAAAAATATTCTTCCGTAACATGCTGACATAACCTTGATACATTTTGTAGGAGAAAAATGTCTCCACTTGAATAAATTGAAATAGAAGTCCAATACAATTTTGAAATGAAAATTTCGAAGTTTTTCGTTATGAAAGATAGCACAATATCGTTATCAGGCCGCGATTTCATTTTTGCTTCTTATATGAGCTTTCAGGCAATGAACCATATATCAGATTATGAAAGTGTTATAACGAGTTGAAGTTAAAATTTCCGGGAGTATTTTCCGATGACATTGGATGTTTCAATAAATGCCAATTGAAGTTATTTCTCAAAGAAAATGTTGTACCAAAATTTTGTAAGCCAAAGCCACTACCATATGCTTTGAAAGATAAAGTTGGAAAAGAGCTTGACAGATTAATTGCAACGAATATTAACTACTATTGAACATAGTCCATGAGGAACTGCTACCGTACCAGTACTCAAAGAATGTGGTGATTCAGTACGTATTTGCGGAGATTATAATGTAACGTTACCTTATTACTCTTTTCTGAACTTAGAGCAAGATAACGATACAAGTGCCACGACTAGCAGTAAGTGATGCGGAGGCAAGAGCGTAGTTCGTTTCTTATATTCTTTATAGAAGCTCAATTCTGGGTGCTGAAAAGGTTTACCAAAACCAAGTCCTTAAATGGGCGCCATCTACAGAATTTTATAGAAATAGGGCACCCTTTTCAACACTCGTCACTGTAGATCAACGTTGCTACACCGGGATATGAGACACTTCCAGACTACCAATAAAACAAAGAAAAACGGTGTACAATGACTGGCAATCTTCCACTCCAACTTCTCTAATCAGGTGATCCAGGATTCTGGCAGTCTCCGGTAGATCTTCACGCTCCCTTAACGGAATTTCCCAACTCTCATACAGTGGTGCTCCTATCTCAACCACTTGTGGTCTTGTCCTCTCAATAGTTTGTTATAACTACGTCTCACTTCTGCCTGAATGTTAGGATCAGTTTTTATGTATCAGTTTCAGTTTTACTTTTACTTTTTTTGTTCCAGTTTCAATTTAACCGATTCAATTTTCCTATTCAATTCAGGACTCAATTTTGATTCAATTCACAACTCAAAGTAGCTTGGCAGAACTAGAATAAAAAAACTACTGTCAAAAAAATTTCAATTGATTCTACTGTTAGCTTCAATTCACAACTTCATAACATTATTCAATATCATTCCTATCCAAATTACAACCCATAATAACCTTCACAGTTGGAATCCAGTTATATGGATGACTATCAAAATTTTATAATTATTTTGTCACCATTAAACGTTCTCAGTTAGAAAGCCAAGAACAGAAAGACCGTTTCACAATTTCATTCTATCTACATCAAATCGGTACCAGTTCAAAGTTCAAACTCCTCATTCACCTAATAAAATAGATATATAAACCAAGTCCACCGATTCCAAGAATGACATAAAATATATATCTCTCTCTGTGTCTAACTTCTAACTTGATCTTACTCGGTAAAAATGAATTCCCTGACTTAATAACATTACTCTTTGAAAATGGATTCTGGAACTGAACAAAAGAAGAAGACCACCGATTCTAAAAATGACAAAAAATATATATCTCTCTCTCTGTGTCTAACTTCTAACTTGATCTTACTCGGTAAAAATGAATTCCCTGACTTAATAACATTAATCTTTGAAAATGGATTCTGTAACTGAACAAAAGAAGAAGAATATTCATCTGAGGTTTCTTTGCATACCTTACCGTGATACGGAATAAAATAATCAAAACAAATAATAAGGCTGTTGAATGTCAATATTCCGTTTGGTAGCGCTATCGAAGACTGCTCAGAAGAATCCCAGATCTGTGAAAATAAAAATAAGAATTTAGATAATGGGTATGTTATAGTTCACAATTTGAGATTAAAAAGGAAATGGTTTAATTTGTGTTCAGATTGTGTCACAAACAATATGAAAATACCAATCGAAAAACGGAACGTTACAAATTTTGTCTTAAAAAATGCCGAAGTAAAGAATCGAGTATTAGAAACTTGTTAATGACACCACTCACAGTATTCACCACCGCACGTACTGCACATTATGAAACTCACGTCTGCCGATATTATTCTTGTATGAGCAATTAGCTACAAAAGCAGCAATGACATTTTTTGTTTCAATGAAATTCAAGTCGTCACCTTGAAGTTGGAGATTGACATCATTAAATAATGTATACAGGTCTGTCAAGTACGCAATATCATGAACTCTATTACAGAGTCAAATAGATTGTAAAATCGAGTCAGTCAGTTTCCTCTTGATAACCAACGCACTTCTGTGTCAAATAGTAATTAGTTGAAATCTTCATCATTAGCAACACAAAGATTAAAAATAATAGGTCATTTAAAGAGTTGTTTCGGATTTTATTGACTGCTTTGATGATATATTGCGGTGATTGAGAGAGGCGCTCACTCAAATTTTTCGCAACCAAATGTTGCCTATGAATGACGCAATGTACAGCGAGCACATCTGGAATTTTATTTTTTAAGTACGCTATGAAGCCTTTGTGACGTCCTGTCATAGCCGGAGCGCCATCCGTAGCAGCTGATATAATATTTTCAACGGAATTTCTTTCTCATCATAACATTTTTCCAGTATACTATATATGGTTTCTCCTTTTGTATCCGTTTTTAAATTTCTGGCAAATAGTAGTTCTTGATATATTTTCTCATTTTCACCTCACGTATGACAACAACAATGCTTCATTGGTTGGTAAAGTGGACTCACCTAACTTAATTGAGAATTTAGAAGTCTTCAGATGATTGCACAATGACTCTTCAATGTTTTCAGCCATCTCAACAATTCGTCTTTGCACGGAACTATTGCTCAAAGGAATTTTTCGGATAATGTCTGCCGCTGGTTTATGGAGCACAGTAGTTCTTACTTCTTTTATTGCCGGTAAAATTAAATCCTCTCCAATAGTGTGAGGTTTACCTGTAGGAGATATTGTAGGAAGCTCGGAGTCTATCGTCGTATTGCTTAGAAGCCGCTGTAAAAAGTTTTGACGCAGTTGGCTGAGCTGAGTGTTTCTTTTCCAGTTCTTGAAAATAAGTCACCCTTTGGTCTTTTTATCTGAATGCATTCGAAAATGTTTTTTGACAACGAAGGCACATAGGCGAAGATGGATTTGTGGGATTTTCAATAAATCCATATTTTATATATTCCGCGCTACACTGCCGTTTCTTCTTTTTTGCTTCCAACATAATGTGTAACGTTACCTTACTCTTTTCTGAAGTTAGAGCAAGTGCCACGACTAGCAGTGGGTGATGCGGAGGCAAGAGCGTGGTTTGTTTCTTATATTCTTTATAGAAGCTCAATTCTGGGTGCTGAAAAGGGTTACCAAAAACCAAGTCCTTAAATGGGCGCCATCTACAGAATTGTATAGAAATAGGGCACCCTTTTCAACACTCTTCACTGTAGATCAACGTTGCTACACCGGGATATGAGACACTTCCAGACTACCAATAAAACAAAGAAAAACGGTGTGAAAATTCAATAAGGTAAATAAAGTAAATATAAATATAAAAAATGGGACTGATTCTTATACAAAGGAACCAGATTGTTNCATTTAATTTCTCAATAACGAATGAACCCATTGCAAAAAACATTATAGAAGTAATAGAGGTGCAAAAGACCTTTCAAATGATGTATCATTCGGCCCCCCATGCCATTGAAAAAATACGGGTAGTAGTTGCTGACCGCAGGGGGGGTGAAGTTTCGGGTATGATTTCCAAATCAGAATTAGTCCCTTTAGAAATAAAAATTGACGTGTTTTCTGAAATTTTCGATTACACGTCCGTTTCTGATTTACAGGGGGTCAAGTTTCCGTTGGAACGCTCTGTATATTGATGATGACAGCGATTGTCATTGTCACCGATTCATGTTAATTTTCATCGGTTAATCAACTTGTGATACACTGTTTGGAACCGTTGGTGTAGTAATGAATATTGCTGGAGTTTTTTCCCAACACCAAACCGTTATTTTAACACTTCGACACGTGTTTCGATCGCCAGGTGATCATCTTCAAGGCGGAGAATAAACTGTTTGGTTTTCCTTTTGAAGATGATCATTTGGTGATCGAAACACGCGCC